CATTCATGGTTACCACGCAATAAAAATAACGTATTAGGATACCATATCTTTAATGCCCATAGATAAAGAACACACTGAAATACAAAAAAAAAAGGGGAATTTTTAATAATATGAAAATAAAAAAAATATTTAATAATTTTATAAATATCCATGAAAAAAACCTCAATAGAGAAATATCCTCTGTCGACATAATCACCCAGAAAAAGGTATCGGGTCTCTGCTGGATTACCGCCAACTTCGAATAATTTCATCAAATCATAATATTGTCCATGAATATCACCACATACTTTAGAAGTAGGATTGATAGTTAGATCACCGTTAGTTAGTATGAACATAAATACCGCGTTATTAATTCAAACTTACCTGTTATAGGGGCATCTACTTCCAATAAGTTTGGTTCCTGTTTTAATAACTCAGTACCCTTATTGATAATGAATAAAGCTTGTTCATCCGTAATTCTTCCCTCACGATAGAAATGATTTTTCAAAAATTGAATATCGGGTTTTTCCGGATCATCTTTGGAATAGAAATCCTCATCGGTTGGCTTTTGAACAGCAGGTGCTTGGACGTCTGAATGTGCGAACAATGTTATTTTGAAAAATGTTAATAGGTAAGCTTCCTAAAGCGTGTCTAACCCAAGGACTTTTTGTGTTGCAAAGTTCCTAGTTAATTTGATAAAAGTGAGTTGTATACATCATGCCATCTTAATAAAGATTCTACCGTAGAAAAAGTTTTTGGATTCTATCTTTTGTTGAACCGTATAAAAAAGGTCGTCACTCTCGCCTTGTTTTAGAATCACGAACCTTTGCAATAACGGTCTAAAGTTGACACCTTACTACCATCGTCCATCTCGTGCACGGTGAAATCAAGTGTTACTACTGGCACTTTTGTTTCAGCCAGTCTTTTGAGATAAGTGGCTGGATCTTTTGGAAGACCCGTTTCATTTGTATCATTTTCATCCATTTTTTAAAATCTAGAAGATAAATATTAAACGATAAAGTTTATGTCATTATTTATATGTAAGTCAGTGTAACATAACCATTCTTTTATAACGATGCAGTAGAGTGAACCCTAATAAATTCATTTGTTACTACGTACAGTACGTACTTAAAAGATTGATACGTAACTGTACGCTTTGATTTTATTTACCTATGTATAGTGTTACTGGGAATGACCTACAGCTTCGCAGGATTGTTATTACTCTCTCCATGCTACCCACCCTTTAATAGTAATCATTCTTCACTATGGTCCAACGTATAACTACGTAGTATTACTACATAAACATTTAATTTATTTGAAAAACTAACACAATAATGATAAAATACTGAAATACTGAAATATATTGCATGTCAAGCAATTTTACGGGTAATCTCCAAAATTCCGGGTCGGAAGGCATCGGAATCATGTTGGCTAGCTAAGCATTATACTATATCAGATATATACTAATAAAACGTCGAATTTATGACTTTAGGATTAGGGTGAGGCCTGAAATTTTAGCAATATGTTATATCAGATATATATGCAAAATTTAGCAAGGAATTTTTTTAATTAGAATGCAAAAAGGTTTCTTAGTCAAAATTTAAAGTTATAAGTGATTTTTTGAAAATGTTTTTATACAAAACATTACTCTTTAAATTAGTATATGCAAATTAGACAAATTAGACTACGTAGAACTAAATATCTTCTTTTTTTTTTTTTTTAAGGCGGCCAGCGAAATTTTATTAAGTCTACATAATGATAATTTGGTACAATTCGCACTGTTGTCGAGTTAGCGTTAGTAAAACACTTTACAGCTGTTTTCATTCTAACTGGGACACCTGACTAAAAAAATTAAATTATCGAATCGGATAGTCTAATTTTTAATCAGGTGTCCCAGTTAGAATGAATAGAACTAAATAGAATTTATTTCCCGCTTACGTATTGAACCCGGCCCGTGATTTATCCCCTTTTAACACTTTTAACGCGGTGCAGAAGTGACATTTATCACCTTTTTACAGTTTTAATAATAATGATAAGACTATACATAATTTTTTCTAAAAAATCACGTAATAAATGTCACTTCCCTAAATGAATAAATACGGTATATGAGAAATGAGTCATTATTAACGTCAAGAAACATAGCTGTTATGACTACAAATTCAGATTCCTTATTATTAGATACCACATTCTCAACCCATGAATCTATTTCTATCCCGCCTGCACCGTTAGTATTCGTTTAACTGATTTATTTCTGAAAACTTCGTCAATATGTTTAAATTTAGAATTCTGACAGTTGGTGTTCCAATCTTTATTAGGTCTCCAAATGGTCGTTTCGCCTCTATCAAGCATTGGTATTCACGTTCTGAAATAACTTCTGAAACTGCTGAAGCTCGTCTTCTATCAAGACTTCAATTCTTTTCTATTGGAGGAAAGACTGTTGCCACTCCCAGTGACTCAAAAACTGTCGCTCGTGTCGGTTTAGTTGATTTAGACGGTGACGGCAAAAGAAAGATAAATACTTTGGTAATAGATCAAGACGGCAACGATT